AGTTGTATTGAATTTCTTCATGTTCGGTCAGTTTATCTGGACTTGATGGAAAAGGGGATACAAATTCCAAGTTTTTCCACAAGGCGGTTAAACATCGTCGGCAAATAAATAAAATAAAAGGCTTGAGGGCGCGGGATGGCTCTTGGATTACGGATCGTGAGAAATTGAAGGGGATGGTGGGAATTTTTATTCTTCTTTATTTACCCCTTCGGTTAATAGACCGGTATGGAGCACATATAGTTTGCGGCGGATCTCGACGGTTCAAAATGCAGCACTGCTTAGATCGATTAGTCCATAAGATGTGAAATTAGCTCTGTTTGCAATGCATCCGGATAAATGAGAGAAGTAGACGACGGGAATCCTGGGCGCTAATTCGGAAATCGGCAGCGAACAATTTGACTCCGTGGTTGATGATCGGCGACTTCAATGATATTATGGTGGCAGTGGAGAAAAGAGGGCAGATTCCACACCCGCCATGGAGGCTAAGGGGATTCTGGGAGGCTGTTTGGGAGAGTGGTTTAAGAGATTTTCCTTTTACTGGTTATCTGAGGAAGAGGCACGCCGGCGTGGGTGGAGGAGAAACTGGATAGAGTCCTGGTCAATGAAGAGTGATATGAGATGTTTGGGGCTGCAAAAGCATGTTCTTTGGAAGCGCCTGCTAGTGATCATATGACTCTCTGTGTGCAGATTCTGCAGGAAAATCTACGAAGAGGTAGCAGATCTTTTAAATTTGAGAATATCTGGTTAAGAGAGGAGGAATGTCGTCACATAGTCAGTAATAGTTGGAGGGTAGGGTTGAGCCTTACTATTTATGATAAAATAGAATTAGAATTATGTGGCAAAGAACTTCACAGGTGGGGTAATCGAAGGCAAAGGGGCTTTCGGGCACAAATTGAAGTGTGTAGAAGGCGTATGAGTTTTTTAAAAGGTAAATCTGACTTTCATAGTTGTATTGAATTTCTTCATGTTCGGTCAGTTTATCTGGACTTAATGGAAAAGGAATATATATTGGACGCAGCGGGCTAAGGAATTTTGGCTCCGAGAAGGGGATACAAGTTCCAAGTTTTTCCACAAGGCGGTTGAACATCGTCGGCAAATAAATAAAATAAAAGGCTTGAGGGCGCAGGATGGCTCTTGGATTACGGATCGTGAGAAATTGAAGGGGGTGGTGGGAATTTTTATTCTTCTTTATTTACCCCTTCGGTTAATAGACCGGTATGGAACACATATAGTTTGCGGCGGATCTCGACGGTTCAAAATGCAGCACTGCTTAGATCGATTAGTCCATAAGATGTGAAATTAGCTCTGTTTGCAATGATCCGGATAAATCACCAAGCTCAGACGTATGAATCCTGCTTTTTATCAGCATTTTTGGGATATTGTAGGTCCGGATGTGGTTCGGTTATGTCAATCCATGTTTGATACGTGCAAAGTGTCACTGGAATTAAATATTACAAATATTGTTTTGATCCCAAAGAAGTCCAAGCCAGAAGGTCTAGGTGATTGGAGATCGTTTGCATTATGTATTGTGGCTTTTGAAATTTTTTCTAAGGTTCTAGCAAATCGATTGAAGGGGCTTTTACATGGGCTAATTGGGGAGAGTCAAAGTTCTTTTATTCCAGGTAGATCAATTGTTGATAATATTATGATTGCCTTTGAGACTTAGCATTATGTGAAAAGGAAGAGGTGTGGCAAGGACGGTTACATGGCTCTGAAGCTTGATATGAGCAAGGCATATGATCGGGTGGAGTTGTTGTTCCTTCAAACAATTATGGAGAATATGAGTTCTGATGGCAGATGCATCGATCTTATTATGGAGTTTGTATCAACCGTGTCATACTACATCCAGTTTGATAGAGCGGATTGGCCCAGTGGCTCGGGGAAGAGGGTTACGTCAGGGGGATCCTCTATCCCCTTAGCTGTTTATTTTAATTGCAGAAGGACTCGGTGGGATGATTCGCAAGGTGGAGAGCAAGGGAGATCTACATGGAGTGGCAGTCTGTAGAGGGGTACCTAAGGTATCTCACTTATTTTTTGCTGATGATAGCTTGTTATTTTTCAAAGCAGCAAGGAAGGAATGTGAAGTTATTCAAAATATTCTACATCAATATGAGATGGTTTCGGGTCAGGTTGTTAACTTTAATAAATCTAGTATTTACTTTAGCCCGAATGTGAGTGAGATTGATAGGGTGCAGATTTGTGATTTTATGGGGGTGCGAGCGGAGGGTAAGCACAACTGCTATTTGAGGATTCCACCTATGGTGGGTTGTGGTAAGAAGGCGATCCTTAGCTATCTTCGGGAGAGGATTTTTGCTAGAATGAAAAGTTGGAATAATAGTTTTTTGTCTAAGAAAGGAAGAGCGGTTTTATTAAAAAATGTGATCCAAGCCATGTCAACTTACGCCATGAATGTGTTTTACTAAAGGCCTTATCGAGGAAATTGAAAAATTAATGAATAGTTTCTGGTGGAAGGGAGGGGAGAGTTTGAGAACAAAGGTATCCGGTGGAAATCCTGGGATGGTATGTGTCGACCGAAAGGGGAGGGCAATTTGGGATTCAAGACGATCAGGGAATATAATATAGCTATGTTAGCTAAACAGGCCTGGAGATTAACTACAGATACACCTCCTTGGTAGGAAGAATATTTAAAGCCCGTTATTATCCAAATGGCAATTTTTTGGAGACACGGGCGGGGAGTACTCCATCCTTCATTTGGAGTAGTATTTTGGAAGCTCAATCAGTAGTGACAGCTAATATTTGTAGGAGAGCGGGGAATGGTAGGAATAGTCAGATTTGGGCGGATGCATGGCTTCCGGGACCGGATTCGGTACGAATTACTTCCCCTAAGCCTGCCGGAATTTTTGATATGAATGTGGCAGCTTTGTGCACGGAGGATGGCAAAGGATGGCACACAGACATGGTTCGATCTCTTTTGATTATAGATGAGGCTAATCAAATTCTTAGTATACTGATTAGTATACAGGACCAACCAAATGTATTTTGGTGGAAGGGGAAGAAAGATGGATTTTTTCAGTGAGAAGTTGTTATCGCTATCTCAGGGGAGCTCGACATAAGGGAGGTGGACATGATGGACAAAGGGATGGATTACAATTAATGTTGATGTGGCGGTTGATGAGCATAGGGGTTTAAGGTCGTGGGGATGGGTAGCTAGAGACGAAAGAGGGGCATTTGATCGTGGACATATAGAGGCAAAGGAGGCTTAGTTGGTCACCAACGGGGACAGAGCCGTACGAGGTCAGGGAGGCTTTAATTGCAGCATGCAGATTGAGTTGACAGAAAAATGAGATTGAAACAGGTGCTCTGGTTGTTGTTCAAAGTGTCTTCAAGCATGGAGGATCCTCTTATTTACTACTTATTATTGATGATATTAGATCTATTTTTGATAATCATAGTCAGTTTAAGATTTTATATTGTAAACAGTCAGCGAATCTTGTTGCTCATGCTTTAGCTAAGGCAGATGGTTCTTCCCCGGACTGTTGTTCAGTTTCCGAGCAGACTCCTGATTCGATTGTAAACTTATTTCACAATGATTTGTTAGATTAATAAAGTTTTGGTTTACTATAAGAAAACTGACAACTCGAATCAAAATAATAACTCTGGAGTATTAATTTTCATATAGTAATGCCGTATTACTTTATTACTACGTGAGTAAAGTTAATGCCGGGGCACTTAGGGTGTGTTTGGGAGTTGGATTTTGGAGGGGAGAGGAAGGTTAACAGGGGGTTATAATCCTTCTTTTCATGTTTGAGAGTTTAAAAAATTGGAGGGTACGGTTTTGGAGGGCTTTTGTAACCCTTCAAAATTCTCCAAATGGTTAATTTTTAAGTTCCCCCAATTTGGAGGATTTTGGACGATAATTAACAAGATGATAATTTAAGCTATACTCCGTATTAAAAATGAATATCAGCTCAATGATTTGAATTCGTCATATCTCAAAGTGATTTTAATTATAATTCTTTCAAAAACTTTCTCCTTCCAATTTTATTATTCCCAAATACAAAGAACTTACTCACCCTTCCCTCTCTTTCCCTCCAACAACAAACAACATACCTTCAAAGTCTTCCCCTTCCCTTCCTTCCAAACTCCCAAACATACCCTTAGTATTTATAATACAGAGTACTTAATCCTTAATCATTTTAATATTAACTAAACAGTTAAGTATTTATTATTTCTAGTTTAAATCCTACCAGCCAAATAATTAAATTCATTTCCCCTCTTATCCTCATATTTTTCTAAAAAGTAAATACAGTTTACACATTATTTTCTAGATATACTCCTTAACCAAAGTACCAAACTCATTCGAAATGAGTTACACGGTTACACTTAAACCCCTCTGTTCCAATTAACATCTCTCTATTAGTTTATTACACTAAATCAAATTTATTCCAAAAACGTGTTTGTCTTAGAGATGGTATTTGTGCGATGGAAATTTGATTTTAAGCCCATGGAGAGTGATTCTTTATTCATATGAGTGGCTTAGAGATGGTATTTGGGGTGGACTGGGCCAGGCCGAACTGGCCCGTGAACCGGACCGAACCGGCCCATTAACCGGACAGAACCGGCCCATGAACTGGACCGGCCCGCTACTGTGCGGGCCCAGACCGGACCGGGACCGGATGGCTGGTTCCGGGCTTTAGCCCGGGTTGGGTGGGCCTAGCAGGCCGGGCTCGGGCCCTATTTTTCTTGAACCGGCCCGGCCGGTTCATTTTTTTTTTGTTTTTTCAATTTTTTTTGTTTTCCTAGGGTAGGGCTGGGTGTTTTGGAGATGTTTGAGGGGGGGTGAGGGGGGGTCAGGAGTTAATTAGAAAGCAAAAAAAAATTATACATTGGACCAGCCCGGACCGGTTTGGCCTGGACCCGGTATCAACCCGGGCCGGTTCTGGGCCCAACGTCTGAAAAAAAAAGCCCGGCTTGAACCGGCCCGGAGCCCGGCCTAGCCCGGGCCCGGTCCATGCCTAGACAGTATGAGCTTATAAAGTCTCGTATAAGTTTTATTTAACATACACGAAACTTTCAATGAGTTTTTAAATAATTTTATTTATCAAAGATTAATTAAACTTCGTGTTTGGTTAAAAGATGAAAACACACCACATTTATTATTCAAGTGCAAATAAATAATCATGTAGCTTCTTCAGATTCTGAGGCGTCTTCTTCAAAAATTTTACCATTATCATCAAAATATACCACTGTAACTCCCTTGTCTGTTTGATCATTTTGGCCTTCCTCCTCGGCCCTTCTTTTCTCTTCTTCTACTTCACGCTCGAGAACTCGAGCCTTTGCTGCATCTAACCGAGAACCAACTGCTTCCCATGACACAAGCTTCTCCATGAAAACAGAAATGTAGTCTGGCCGACAGTTCTATCAAACAAATGTACTTATCATACCAAGACTGTTATCCACTTTGGATGAGTTCAAAGAGAGGCATAAACATTATTCCATCCGTCAAATATTACAACAAAAATAAAGATTATAGTTTAAAAATTCCTTTTTTGGAACAGTTTAATTTAACAAAACTAGTTTTTCTGTAATCAGGGGAGGGCCAACCCTGGCCCTGGCCCAGCCTAAATTTAAAAAATGTTCATATTTGAAGTGTAAAAAATTTTGTGTAAATTTTTTTCCAAATATATTCTTTGTAACGGCCCAGTCTGGCCCAGTGCTCTGGCTCCGCCCCTGTCTCTAATCATGCCAAATATGATATAATACAATATATTTTTTTCATTATTAGTTTGTTCCTACTTTAGGTGCACAACTATGACATTTGTGCAACTTTTGGTCGTTATGGAAACTTATAGCTTTCATACAATTTTCAAATTGTTTGCATTGCATAAGTGGCATAAATGGAAAGAATTTATATGATAAATTTTGTCGAACCAGTATAAATTGCATGCATGATTACTGGACTTATATGAGTAGTACTTGTCATTAAAAAAAGGTGTATAATTTATGAAACAATAGTGTGTGGTGTTTGGGGGGGGGGGGGGGGGGGGGGGTTACTAGTTAACTTCATTGGCTTCAACCTTACCTCAAAGTATAAGTAAATTTGCTGAACCAGCAAATAAGTTTTATAAATTGCATAATTGGTCATTAAAAGTAGTAGTTAACTAGTTATCATTAAAAGAGTTGTATAATTGGTCAAACAATACATTATTATATTGTGTGGGGGTGGGGGGGTCATGGGTGGGTTGGTGGGTGAGGGGGTGTTTACTACTACATAGTTAACTTTGCTGGCTTCAATCTGACCTGAAAGTCTAGGCAATTTATTGAACCAGGGCATAAGTTTTAAAAATTGCATGCATGATTACTGGACTTATAAGAGTAGTACTTAGCAATAAAAAAAAACATGTAACATTGGTCAAACAATATATTATGTGGAAGAGGGGTATCTAGATAATTTCACTGGCTTCAACTTTACCTGAAAGTCTAGGTAATATGCGTGCTGCAGTAATATGCCAAAGAAGAATCAGACTAGTTAGTAATTTCACAACATATCTTGGTAATTATGGAATTGAAATGTTAAACGCAAAAAATAGTATTCCCTTACCTCCCAGACATCTATTGTTAGGAGTGGCTGTAGAAAAATCAAGAAGAGAAAAAAATGCAAATTCTCAAAACAGATAAATCTACAGATCGGAAAGGAAGACAAACTTATAAAAAAAGATGACACATCATCCATGAGAGCTCCAAAACCACCCTGACAATTATTTGAGAGGGGTTCCAGTTCATGCCTTTGCTTGGAGTTGAACTCGAGACCTCCTCTTTGTGACACCCTCTTCCCACCAGGTAAAGCTACGCCACCCGGCAAGCTTATCATACAATTACAAGCCAAATACCCAAAAATGAACTTTGACTTTAAAAAAATGGGTTGACCTACTCTTCAAATGTCCTACTCTTCACTTTAAAAAATAATGGATTGAACTCAAGACCTCCTCTTTGTGCAACTTTTTAACATATGAAATCACATTTGTTTACCTGATATATGCACATTATATCCCAAGTCGATTAGGACACTCTGAAAGTTCTAAATCATCATTGAGATTTTTCACTACGTTTATGGGCTAAAAACGGGATGCACAAAGACTTCTGGGCTAACTGAGATTTATTATTAAAAGTTCAGGGTTATTTTTGGGTGTTTACCTGCAACTAAGAACCAAAATACAAAACCATTACTCCCTCTGTCAGCCCGTCTCCAAATTAACCTCCCATTTTCCTTTTTCGTCCTTCTCAAAATGATCTTATCATCTCTTTCGAGAGAGTTGTGCTATACTGCTACACACTCATGTCTCAAAGGAAGGTTTAATTATTTTGTCCATCCCAAAATGAGGTTGATGTTTCCTTACTAAGGAAGTAATTGTGGTTAATATTATTCATCCCTCATCAAAATATATCTCAATCACATAATTTTAATTTTCTTAATAAGCATGCCAAGTCAAATTAGGAACTTTGTTTTGGGTCGGATGTAATATTTGGTCTCATCTTTCTTAATAAATTTCAATCACACAATTTCACTCCTAATAAGCGCTTAAAAGCAACAGAGAATTTGATTTGGAGATGAAAGAAACACTTGGCACTTACAGAGTAATCCCATACAAGAGGGTTCACAGCATTAGGGGTTTTAACAATTACAAGCTTCTTGTCTTTGTCCGATGGAAGGGGATTTATTGCATTTTCCACGTTGAGTTTATTGGCCTTGTCTGTGGGCATGAATGAGAAAAGATAAATTATTCCTACCATTAATAAGAAAATTGTAACTTGACAGGCGCACAAATTTGAAGAGAAATTGGTTAATGAAGCTGCTCTCACATGCAAGCCAAGCCCAGCCAGAGCCAAACTGTGTTGCTGCAGCTATTTTGAACTCTTTCACGAACATGTCAAAGGAACCAAAGTCTCTGTTTATCAGCTCTAGTAGTTCTCCTGATGGCTCTCCACCACCACCCGGCTTCATTGACTCCCAGAAGAATGCATGATTCCAAGCCTGCAAGTGCACATGTGATTCACAACAACAAATCTATAGTAGTTGGTCATGATGTGTACCTCAATTCATTAATTAGTAGTTTAGTACTGTAAACAGTACTCTGAAGAGCACTAAACGCCTAGGCAGGGTCTAACATGGCCAGCCATAGGCGTCGAACATAATACATTACGAAATGGATTGTTAAGATCATGAGATATCATGTTAAACGATATAAGAAGTAGCTCAAGACCTTATATGTGGTATATTTATATTTTTCCTATTTAGATGACTAGAAAGGGCTGATCAGTGACTGGCATTAAAGAATGTTTATCAAATTATTTGAGGTTGAGACAGAGCGCAGCTTTGAGCTTAACATGTTTAGAATCCATAAATGAGCCAAATTTATACATTGCACATTTATTCGAACTCAACCATGAATAAATTATGGTGCAGTACATATATGTTAGGAATTGGAGGGTTTAAATATATTTTTCTAATTTTAGATATGATTGTTAATGAAACAAGCATGTACTGCACAACTTGAATACGAGAAAACAAGCATGCATGAGTTAATGGGTGATCAAGCTCATCGATTAAGTATAAGTTTAAACATATAACTATCCGCGAGACAAAAGCTTTATTCTTACATATTCAGCCGATGGGAGTGACTACTTAGCATTATCCAGCACTAAAACAAAAGGTAAAACATTTACTGGGACAAATTTGAGGCTAATATTTTAGCTCATCAGGCTCCCAACTTGAACCGAATATCACTATCATCGAATCCACTCAAGCTAGAACCCAATATATTCATGATTTCATGCTCGGGTTGGTAACACCCCTAATCAGGAGGAAAATGGACCAAAGGAGACCGGTTTGGACAGGGTTAATTTGGGAGCAATGTATAAAGGCTGAGATTTGAGAAGAGGGTGTGAAATATTTGTGTCACCTGTGCGGCATTGTTGAAAGAAGGTAGCATATCGCCTTTGTTGTATGTAGCCAATACAATGTCTTCTAATCTCATCCCCTCCAGTTCAGTTCCAAGTATATGCTTGTTTAAGCTTTCCACATAAGCCCTGTGATGTTTTCCCCAGTGATATTCAAACGTTTCACGACTCATGTGAGGTTCCAATGCATTCTACCAAATCAACAAGAATGCCAATGGGAGCATGTGGTTCAAAATAATTCCTATCAGAGCCCAACTCTTAGCATTTATAAAAATCATATCGGTCCCCAGGTTTGATTCTTTTCTGATTGTGGTGAACGATTATGGATTCGTTGAAATTTATGTCATTCCAATCACTTACCAGGTAATATTTGTACAATTTCCTAATGATTTTCACTGGATAAGTAAGTGATTGAAAAGACCAAAAGTTGAAAAAAATCATAGTCAAGCACCAAAAGTACAAAAGAAAATTAAATTTGAGACCCAAAGTAGAACACTTTCTATAAAAAAAGTAACTTCCATGTAAAAGAAAACTCCATTTCCATGTTCACAGTAGATGAAGCAAATTCAATTGCAACTTAGGGATTCATAGTGATATTGTATTTGTACTACACAAAACACTTGCTATTCATCAAACTGCTATGCAGAAAATGTAAGCATTCACCAAGAAGTGTGATTAAAAGGGTAGATGAGTATGACTCCTGAATAATCTTACCATTGGGTATGGTGGAGGCTTTAGCTCAAATGCAGCTCTTATTTTCTGAAAGCCCCCTCTTTTGAACTTTGCCTGCAATTGGTAAAAGACAATGGGTGTTTTAAAGAGAGTCGCATAATCTTTTAACTACGTATAGTCCTAATTAATCTTGGTATTCAAGTTCGCGCCACAACTGCAAGTTTGAGTCCACTCAACCCCATTTGAGGGCTGTCTCGAGCTCAGCTTGGGATGGTCTGGCAGCTTGTATGGGCACTCAAATTCGACTCATTCAAACTCTAGCAAATGTCATATCAATCCGAGCTGTGCTCAAAAGCCAGATACAAGAGTAAAATGCCCAATGTCAACTTTTCGAGTAAGTTAGCTCAGCCAGTTTACTAACCAGGATAGACTGGTTTTGTCACATAAATAGCTTAGTTCGAGCCGCAGTGAGACAAGCTTAGTCGATTCGAGGTCAGGGGAAGCTCAATTTGTATAACAGATATAACTAAAACTTAAAGCATTTCATCAAACATATTATCTACCCTTCTTGTTAGCCAAAATTGGAATGCAGGATAGCTGAATCTTTCCCTCATAGGTTATCATACACGAGCGAGTAAAGATACCTTTTGCTCTCTACAACCGCAGTTATTATATTTTGAGCCCAGAAAGTCTGCAAGAGCGGTAGAGCACATCACTGAATAAATGTTCTAAAATATTGGATAAATTACAAAAGAGAGCGAGAGTGAGACCGGCCCTGGCGAGAAAAGAAAGCAAATGAAAGGGGAATGGTAGATGCCACAGCGGTCATCATCTCGGCGTTTCTTGGGAGAGTGGAAACTGGAAAATGGAAGTCAGCTCTTGCCTTGCAGCCAGTGGCGAGAGTAGAGGAGCTAGTTTAGTCAAAGGCTAAATTGAGGAGAATTTTTGGTACATCTCATTCTCATTAACATGATAAGTTAGAAGCATTTTATGCTACGGATGGAGTATATTTCACCTTATTGCCATCACCAATTTTTTCAATTAATAATCACACTAGGAAAAATTTAAGTTAAAGTAAATTGATGAAAATCTTATCTTATCTTTCTCTATACAAAATGAAGTGGAAATGCTTGCACTTTTCCCGCCCATTTTGTCGGGTCAAAAAACGGGTTAAAATTAAGATTCGGTTTTTGTTGGGTCATGTCTGCAAGACTTTGACGACTTTTCTTTGGTTCAACGTTCAATGCAGTTCAATACAATAGATTCTCTTCTCTATTCAAGACATTTAGGTAGACAATAAATTTAAAATGAAGATTCGGTTTTTGTGGGGTCATGTCTGCAAGACTTTGACGACTTTTCTGCGATTCAACATTTAATGCAGTTCAAAACGTTTTGGTAGACAATAAACATAATATCGTGGTGGTCAAAAGTATTGAATGCGGATGTGACTAATTTGCTTTTGGTTCATTGTTCGATGCAATTTAAAACATTAGTTTCTTCCCTCTATTCAAAACGCCTTACTAGCAATATACTACCGTACGAGTCAAAGCATTGGTTGCGATTGGTTGTTCATTTAATGAGTTGGTTGACAATTAATGAGGTGGTTGAGAGGGTTGACACACATTACCCACTGGATTATTCAATACCATTGCAAAATCTAAGTTTTCAAGATGCTATAAATACGAGGTCTCATTTTGCACTCAACATCACACAAACACACAATGGCACCAATCAAAGAAAACACTGATCATAATAACAATAATCTGTATTCTATGATCAGATAAGTTGACCACACTAGGTCCACTTGGGCTCTTAGAGTAAGGGTGGTAAGAGCTTATGAAGTTCCCTCTCATGCCAAGGGAGGCACCATAATGGAAGTTGTTTTTCATGATGAGGATGTAAATAATATTTCGGTTTTTATTTTAACTTGCAATTTAAGTCTTTCATCTTTCAAATGATATAATTCTTATTTATGTATTGTTGCAGGGTGACCGTATACATGCAATCATTAAGAGGCCGCTCATGCATCTGTAAAAAACTACACTGGTGGAAAATAAATGTTTTAGGATCAAGAACTTCTTGGTTTTTGATAACTACTACAACTATAAAACCACAGAGCACCCCTACCTTTTGGAGTTTTACAAAAAAAACTACAGTCTATGACCTTCGTGAAGAAACTTTTCCGAATAAAGTGTATAATTTCCACCAATTTGATGCACTGCAGAGCCTCAGGATTGTTAACGACAAATTGTTAATAGGTAATTTCTTATACTGACTAGGAGGTATTTCACTAATATTCTACGATTTAACATCACAGAATTATCCTACAGACGTCATTGGAAAGTACGTAGGAAAGACTCCAATACAGACGCCAATCGTTAATTGGAAACCTGAGAGGCTCATTGAACTGACTTTGGAAGATCCAGAGCAGTGTCCTAATCTTAAGATATAGCTACAGAATCAATGTGTTAATCTTTATATGCTTCCTAATTATATGAGTCCTAATTGTAGGGGAAATCGCATTGGATGCACATTGTGGAATCACTACTGCAAGCAGTTCACTGATTTTTATGATGTGCACAAGGATGAAGCAATTTACATCATTCTACAAATGGGGAGACCGAGACGCTATCAAGGTAAACTTTATACAATACATTTAATGTGGAGTTTTTACAAGACCACTGCGGGCTAATGAAAGTTTGTAAATTTTTAAGGTCAAGTTTTTGTTGGTACGTCTTATGATGTTTCTAAGTTGATAATGAATGGATCTACTCCAGAATTTGATGACTTCAAAGCGCAGTGAGTGTTTCTTGAATGCTTATTTGAACTTCAAATCCTTATGAAGTTCCTAAAAATAATAATAATCTATTGTATTGGAATCATGTAATAGAAATAGTTTATTGTATTGGAATCATGTAATAGAAATAGTTTATTGTATTGGAATCATGTAATCGAGGGCATGTTGGTATTTAATCGACTTTGTGGACATAAAATGTTGACTCTAATGTTCACAAATGTTCCTTGTACCATCACAGTGGATCATCAGATGCTTTCGTTGATCGAACGAATGGTAATTCTTACTTTTTACTATTTATATCAGCCCATAAATATTTAATGATATTGATTATGTACTATTTGTATTTACTTCTACAATTTTCTAATTTTGAGTTTTTCCAAGCCATTTCTAATTAAATACGGAGTATATATTAACAGTTAAAATAGTGACAAGATCTTTACATGGGACATAGTAGTATCTTACCTAAAAGGCAGGCACCAACTTCTAACTACCAGTTAAAGTTCTAAATTGCGGGCGCGGGGCGCCGCCTAGAGTTCCTCGGCTTGAATAGTTTTTCTGGCGATAATTAGTTTGGAAGCTCTTCTCCAAGCAATGAGTCATTGGTGTGCATGGGTGACTCGGAGACGATATCTGCAGACATAGAGATCAACACTGATGGTGGTGCAACAGGCGGCCAAGAGGAAGACGACTAACATATGGTGGTGATGGATGATACTCACGGGCAGCGTGAGATAGAGATGTTTGGTGGAGATGGACAAAGAGGATGAGGTACTATTGGTGGAGGCTATAGCTCCTCCTGTTTCACATGTAAGCCTCTCACGTGTAGGGACCATAACATAAAAAAATCATGATGTTTTTCTACTTTTCCTGACACTATGGCATCTGTTTAGAAACATGCATGTCAAAAGTTTTGCCGCACCCGAGAGCTCGTTTGGTAACATGAAAATCAACTGATTCGGTTGATTTTGCTGAAATTTATGAAGTCATGGCTGAAGTGGCTGTATTGGTTGATTCTGCTGATATAAAAAAATATTTTTGAAATATATTTTATTAATAAAATAATGAAAAAATATATGCAAAATAGCTAAAATGGTCATCTACAGTAACTTCAGCCAATACAGCCAGAAAAGTAACTTCAACCTTACTTTTTCTTATTATTACACAATTCAGCGCGCGAAAATAAAAGTTCCGTATTTGGTGAAAAAGTTGGCTGATAAGACTGATAAGCCAAAAATCAGTGTTACCAAATGGCCTCTGAGGTGGGGGTTAGATGCTTTATGTTTCGGTTTTATCATAAAAATGATATGCTCCAAGTTCATGATGTACCGATAGGCAGGGGCGAATCTGCAAGGGGGCTAAGGGGCCGGTACCCCTGCTTTAGGGATCCGAGATAGCCAGATAGGTATAGGAAGGGGTCGGTAGGGGGCCGGTCCATTCCATGGCCTTTTCAAGCGAGGTTGAACTTGGGACATGAATTGAAGGTGGTTTGAGGCGAGAGACGAATGCAATGAACTTAGGGAACTGTTTTTTAGTGGAGCGACATCGTTTTGATGGAGGTCATTTTAAAAAAATACCCCAATGCCGGTCGGGCCAAGCCACAATAGCCCAAATGAGGCAAAAGACCAAGCCCTGAAGTGAAGCCCGAAGCCTTGAAAGTCTGCAGAAACGAGGACCCATCGCCAACTCCGCCAAGACCAGCAATGGCCACAACACGCAAGCAGCAGTAGTGCGCAGCGACGCGACGTCACTCATCACTAGGAGCTAGTCACTGGCAATGCCGCTGACCGCCACTCCCGCCGAGGCGCCGACACACGACAACCATCCATCTGGTAGTCCACCGCCGCCTGGTGTATTCTACATCCCGCCCATCCGTAAGGTTTTTCAATATTTGCCTTAATTAATAAAATTAAATATTTGATTTTTTGGAAAATATTTGTTATTTGATTATTGAATTTTTACAATTCATAAATATGATTTGAAAAATATATTATTGTAAAATAGTTATTGATGTAATGGGTTATGTGTATTAAATCGTGCCCCCGCTTATGTTTATTTCTAGTTCCGCCACTTCCGGTAGGCTATTTTATTACGAATAATGCTGTGAGAATAGGTAATTTTGTGGAGAAATTTATTAAGGTGGGTGAATACAATTTATCTGTTAAATGGGATACCTTCTTGAGAATAAAAGTTAGTCTTCATTTAGGTAGAGCGTTGAAAGGAAAACCGTTTCTACAAAAAGAAGGAATAAATTTTTGTGTCACCTTTTGATACGATAAATTTCCTAGCTTTTGTTTCTTGTGCAGAATCACTCGGCAAGCTGAGAGGTATTGTCCCCGCAATTCTGATGGATGCGTGAAGAGTAGGGAAAACCTTTTGGGCCATGGCTTACCGCCACAAAAGGTAGACAATAAGTGGTTACTTCTGGCTGGCAAACAACGGAACAAAGGAAGTGAAGGGGTACCGGCTACATCAAGTTCTGAATAATAGATGATAAATAGAGGGACTTTATGTAATTTGTAAAACTTTACCTATTATAAACATATGTGCTAGGGCTACCAATTGGTAAGCCACATTGATATTTCACATGATATCAGTTAGCCTAGGTTTTTCGTCGTGCCAACCCTAGCAAAATCATCCGCACGAAGCATGGTGTCTTCTTCCCCTGCTCCGTCTACTTCCTCCCCTATAGATATGGAGAATACATCGTCTTCACCTTTTCTAACCGTTGATATCTCCTCTGCTGCTATGCCTATTATGTCCACGGCTGCTTTACCGACAACTAACAATTTCTCCAGACCTGCATCTCCTTCCCTCGTCCGAGGCTCTTGATTTCCGCAACCATTCTCATGGAGTCCCACATCTCCGACGCCTCGCTTCTCTTCTGCTCTGGATTCCGGCGCTATGCGGTCTCTCTTTCACACTGAAGGACAAGGTGACACGGCTGAGGGTAGGGAGCAGGAGACAAAATGGAACAAAAATGCAAGAGAATAGAACAAGAGGATGATGAGTCATCTAGCACTAGTATGGAGGTGGAACTCACGACGCCAAAAGATGAAAAATGAGGCAAGCTGTAGCTATGTGGCTCACCTGACACAAAGCTCAGGAACTTGCAAGAGCATCTTGAGGAGAGTGGAGTGGGGGGAGCTCCATCAGTTTATATTTATTTATTCCTTTTTATTTAGTTTATGTATGTTTTCTAAGTACTTTGTTGTCATCTATGTTGCACCGAATCGGGTACGTGGAAATGCAGAAACGCGAAAACGGATACGAGCATACATAGCAAAAAAGGGATACATATACGGAAGCATATTTATAAATATTAAAAGTTATGAGGGTGCATTTATAAATATTAAAAATTATGGAGGTGTATTAATAAATATTAAAAATTACAATTTTTTATGAAATATATACATATATTATCCTCTAAAATTACAATTCATTCTTTATCTCATATTACCCCTGTCCCAAATCGATTTGAGTCAACTTTTTTAGTCAAACAGTTTCATTCTATACACTAAATTAAGATATCAGTTTTTAATTTTTAATTATATTCTAATTTGAATCGTGAAACTTTATAGAAATTTAAATGTAAGGCCTGAATATGTAAGTTTAATTACTAAAAATTAAATTAATTATCAATATGAAAGATTTAACTTTAACATTGGTTGACAGAAAAATGTTGACTTTGTACATCAATTTGAGACGTAGGGAGTATACACTAGTGCCAATATAGTCAATAGCCCATATAAATTTTAATTTTTTTTTGTAAAAAAAAGTTCATACATGTATCCGTGAGGACACATGTATCTGAAATTTTAAAATAATTATCAAAAAAGTTGGAAACTTTAAATAAATTAAAGTTACGGCTTGGGAACGTACGTTACAAGTATCCTAAAGTATCTGATACATAAACATTTTTTATATGCCGATACGATACCCTAGTGAAGTATTCGTACTACACAGGTTGTCATCATCGCTTTGGAATCTGGCATGGGGGTAGTGGGTCTGCCTTTAGGATTATTTTGCTAGGTAATAATTTGTTTGGAATCAATACAATGAGTTTGTTTTGGGCTTTTGGCTACTAATAGTTTTGAAATTCTCACATGTTAAACGATTAATTTTAGTCATTTTTGGGCAAGTGGGCCATTTACTCCTACATTACACCTCATCCGCTTTTTTAAATTGGAACAGTCCACTTTTCACGCTTACCAACACACAAGTTTGACCATTAATATCTTTCATTCCTTATTAGTAAAAAAAATTAAAAATTCAGATTTTGAAAAGTTAAAATGAAAGGAATTTAAAAAAAAATTAATTTATACTCCCTCTGTCCCTTATAACTTTGCCATCTTTCGATTTTTGGATGTCCCAAAAACTTTGCCACTTTCCCTTTTAATCAATGAATTTGTGGTTCCTGTCATTTCTCTCTCCTCTGCACATATCTCAACCACACAGCTTTTACTTTATTATTTCCCGTGTCGGTCAAACATGGCAAAGTATTGAGGGACGGAGGGAGTAATACATTAAGAAATAAAATGTGAGAATAATGGAATGGATTCCCCAATAGGTAGCCCTGAATGTCATATATATAATAGAATAAGTGTCCAAAATACAATAGGAAACTAACAAAATATGGAAACCCGATTTTGGCTTATTAATACATTATTACACCCCCTCAATCTGTGCAGGGGAAACAATATGCAGATTGTCCCTAAGAAAAATAAACCGTTGAGGAGATAAGCATTTCGTGAAGATATCAGCTAGCTGAGACTTTGTAGGAACATATCGCACTATGAGGTCTCCATGAGAAACACGCACCCTGACAAAATAATAATCGATGCTGATGTGTTTGTTGCGTGCATACTGAATAGGATTAGTGGATAAATATGAAGTAGAAACATTATCACACATCAACCGAACTTTCGCGCAAATAGGTACCCCTAACTCAAACAAAATGGACTAGATGTGTAGTGTATCCTGAACTGTGTAGGCAATGGCCTTGTATTCGGCCTTTGTAGATGATCGGGAAACAGTGGGATGCTTCTTGGATTTCCAGGAAATCAGTTTAGGACCCAAGAAAATAGCAAAGCCAGATGTGGACCGACTACTATCAGGACACCCAGCCCAATCAGCATCAGAATAAGCTTGAACAGTAGGAGATGACCGGTCTGGCTGAAGTGGTAGGCCATGGTCTGGAGTTCCTTCGAGGTACTATAATATCAGGACGAGTCATGGTCAAATACTGTAAAGCACCTACCATACTTCTGTATTCCGTAGGATCTGCAAGAAGATCACCATCATTGAGAGATAACTTAGTTCTAGAAGGAAGAGGGGTGCGAACAAGTTTAAGAGTATGAAGATGAAACCTAGTCAAGAGATCGGACACATATTTTTGCTGTGATAAAAATAGACCGTTAGGTAGACGCACAGCTTGGACACCCAGGAAAAAAATGTAAATCCCCTAAATCCTTCATAGCAAAGTATCGGCCAAGACAAGAAATAAAGGAAGGGGAATTACCAGTAATAATAATATCATCCACATAAAGAAGAAGGTAAAGAATAGATGACCCTTGGTGATAAATAAATAAGGAATTATCAGACTTGCTGCATATAAAGCCATGAGTCAGAAGAAAGCTACTAAACCTGTAAAACCAGGCCCGAGAAGCCTGTTTGAGGCCATAAATTGCCTTTCGCAGGCGACACAAATGATTAGGAAATTGAGGATGAATGAAACCAGGTGGTTGACGCATATAGAATTCCTATGTCACATTCCCATGAAGGAAAACATTTTTAACATCTAACTGACGCATGGTCCAACCAAAAGAGTCAACAAGAGATAGAACAATACAAATAGTAGTAGGTTTGACCATAGGACTAAATGTTTCAGAAAAATCAACCCCAGCTTGTTGAGTAAATCCTTGAGCTAGTAGACGCGCTTTATGCCTTTAGACCCAACAGCATTCTTATGATGATTAAACGGAACTAAATCTCACGTGTGATTGTCAATTAAAGCATTAAACTCCTCAATCATAGCCGCCCTCCATTTAGCATCTTTATTAGCAACCGAAAAAACAAGAAAGATCACATGCCATAATATATGTTTTAAGATTAAAAATAGTTTTTGGTTTAAAATGCCTGATTTAGCGTGTGTTTGCATTGGATGACCGGTCTGATTCGGGGAAGTAGGTGGCGAGGGTTGCTGGGGCCTGGAAGTGTCGGGCAAAGGCTGGAGGTCTGAGGGGTTGTCGGACTGGAGTGGGGATGATGGCGGGGAAGGAGTTGGGCTATCATGATGACGGGGTGATGGTGACTGAGGGGTGGCAGCGCTGCTGGGCTGCCCAGGAGAAGATGGCTGATAGAGGGAAGCATCGAGGTTGGGTTCGGTCAGCAGGTCCGCGGAACCGGGAGAAGATGAGCTGGCCGAGGTATGGGTGTGAGATGGGGACACCAAGGGGATGTGGGCAGGCGGTTGTGTATGGGACACCGAGGGAGGGTTTTCGGACTTAAAAGACGTAAAATCAGAATATGGAAAATAATTTTCATGAAATCTAACATTCCTATTGATGTAGATTTTGCCGATAAGCGGATCAAGACAACGGTACCTTTATACTCAAGAGCATACCCCAGAAAAACACATAAAACTGAACGTGGTGAAAGTTTTTTTGCAGACGTGGCATTGAAATTTGGAAAACAGGCACACCCAAAAACGCGCATAAAAGAAAAGTCCGGAGAATGATGAAATATTTTTTCAAGGGGAGATAAACCATTTAAATTCGAGTGGGCAGACGATTGATAATATAGGTGGCAGTAAAAACCGCATCTATCCAAAATTTAGCTAGCATTTTTGCCCTAAAGAGCATAGTGCGAGTTAATTCTAGAAGATGACGGTGTTTTCTCTGAGTCACCCCATTCTGTTCAGGAGTGTCAGGAAGAGATTTTCTAATTAAAATGCCATGCTGAGTGAAAAGATTACGCATACCATGATTATCAAACTCACCCCCTCCATCACTTTGAAAAAATTTAATTTTTGAATTGAGAAGATTCTTAGCCATTGCTTTAAAATTGGTAAAATGTTTCAGAACCTCACTTTTATTGCGCATAGGATATAACCAAGTAAACCTTGAAAAATCATCAATAAATAAAACGTAATATTTAAAGCCATTGTCAGACAGGACAGGAGACTGTCATACATCAGAATGAATTAAAAATAAAGGAGCAGTAGATTTATGCCAAACTTCTTGAAAAGGTAACCGTTGAGATTTTCCTGACGACAAGAAATACAATCATGGGAAAAATTAGAAGTACTAAGAATAGAACCAGACTTTTTAAAACTATCAAAAATATGATTGCCACAATGTCCCAACCGTCGATGCCAGACACGTCCTGGAGCAACATGAGTAGCTAAAGCAACGGATGAAGGAGGGGTCAGAGAAATAGGATAAACGCCACCTTGATTAGAAGCTTTAAGAAGCACCTCCCCCGAATTGTGTTCCTGAATACAAACAGAGTTTTTATCAAAAATCACAAAACAGTTATTATCGGCACATAATTTTTGGATGGATAGTAAATTATATTTAAGATGAGGAACATGAAAAACAGATTTTAAATGAAGGGGACGTGGCGGAGAAGAAAAAGCTAATTCACCAACAGTCACAACAGGTAAATTAGATCCATTAGCAACCGTCACAGTTAGTGGTCCCGAATAAATATATTTATTTTCTAAAATACCTTCATTAGGATTCGTATGAGCGGAAGCGTCAGAGTCAGGATACCAAACAGCGAAGGAAGATTCTCCACTAGGAACAGCTAAAGCAGGTGTGGAAGGTTGAACAAAATGGGATGGACAGTTAATTGCATAATGACCTAGAGAGTGACAGATTTGACAGACGATGGAAGGAGGAACTGAACCAAAATTATCTTGCAGAGGCATAGTTAGTACAAGAAATGTATGGTGCAGGAGTATAAAACGATGACCCGACAGAATTACAATTAACTGTACCCGGTCACTCATAAGTTGTGGTGAAGGAGGTCCTCGGAATTGCTGCTGCTGCCCGGGGCCATAGAACTGCTGCGGTCCGGGAGCATAAAACTGCTGGAGATAGTTCTGGCCGCCATGTCCTCGTCCACGGCCACCCCGACCACGTGAGCCTCTGCCGCAACCACGCCCGCCACGCTGTGAGGACTGCTGCTGCGGTGGTTGGGCCTGCGGTGCCGGCTGCGGTTGTTGTCCATGTCTGGGCCCTTTCATTGCGAAAGCTGGGGCGCCAACGGTAGTCTCTAACCATTGTTGATAGTTAAGACGGGCTTCTTGATGGGCAAGTTTGGTGCACAATTTATCAAACGTGAGACCTTCCAGGAATAGAGTTATGGGCCCAACAAGTGACTCATATCTCGGACCTAACCCCAATAGCGCATATTGCAAGAGATCTTGATCAGACACGGAAGAATTAATTGAAGCAAGGGATTCAGCAAGTATACCCAAAAGACCATTAGAAACCAGAAAGGACTCAAACTGAGTATGTCAGGGTAAGTAGTCTTCAATAGCCAGTAATTTGATTGTCACAATAGTAGCAATAGAGGAAGCACCAAACCCCATACGTTGACCAAGAGATGCAAACTAGGTGGGTAGGTGTGGAACTTCTCGACGTCCAACCGGCCCGGCTGTCACTAGTCGGCACTTTTTTAGTGTCGCAGAAAGTTTGTGTGACACTAAATTAGTGTCACTATGGGCCTTTTTCTACTAATCACTAGTGCAAAAACGTCGATCAGAGGCGCTTCAAATGGCCTACGTGCGGCGCTTCGAGTGTCTCTAACATATGTGCCGCAAATCTCAATTGGAGGCGCTTTTCAGACGGGAAGCGCCTCTAATGTTTAAAAATAATCGGAATTTTGCGGCGCTTCTAACAACAAAAGTGCCGCATGCATGAGTTAAATAGAGGCGTTTTACATGGAAGCGCCTCTGATGTTATTTTTTTAAAATTTAAAAACGGTATTTAGAAGCGCTTCTGACGAAAAAAACACCTCCAAAATGTGCTACGTAAACTGAATTAGAGGTGCTTCTGACCACAAAAATGCCTCCAAAATCTGCCCCGTAAACTGATTTAGAGACGTTTTTGTCATGAAAAGCGCCTCCAATTGATATTATTATTTTATATATTTTTTTTTTAAAATTACTATATAACCTGTTTTATTTACAGGTCCATTGTCAACCAAAACAACACATTCATTCATTCATAAAACCAGAATAACGATAGATCGTTTCGCACAAATTCAATTCAAAAGGTACAAATTTGTATCACAATAGAAATAAATTACATTTAAGTTTGCTTGATTTTCTCAATTCTACATAGTCTGATAGTCATAACACTTCATCTACAAAAAATATAGCCCATACTTTTCTAATGTCATCAAACTCCTCCGTTGTATATGGCTCAGTTTTTGCATTCCAAACCTGAAAATAATCATACAAATATAGATAAAATGAATAATGAGAAACTAAATTATACTACCGTATATAAGTTAAATGATTTAATGAAATCCACCTATTGAAGTATATATAATTTAAATACCTGTGCAATATCTGAACTTCCAACAGAAGTTATTATTTCCCAAATAAACTTCATCACATAATATCTACATTCTGTGTTGCCCGTTTGTCTTGCACACTATATATAGATGACAAATATACATTATTATTTTATAATATGATTTTTTTACATTAAAGCATATATAACTTGTGTAAATAAGAGAAGAAATATGATGAAAGTACCTTGATATTATGCCATTTGATCGGTTTGCCACGACCCTTTTGTAGAAGCAACTCTATACATCCTAGAATGATAAGCTCAATGTAAATATATATGCTCAATGTTGACATACAAGTATAAATGTTAAATATAAATGTTAAATATCACAATTAAATCATTAAAAATACGGGAAAACTGTCAAATAAGTCCTCGTACTATACCCAAATAGTCAATTAAGTCCGCGTACTAAAAAATCGTTCAATCGAGTCCTCTAACTTGTAAAAAATGCTCAATTCATTCTTTTATTTGGTAAACGCCCGGTTAGCAGGTTGATAACACCCACGTGGGTTGCCAAGTGGCTAATTATACTCGTTCTTTTTCTTTTCCTTTTTTTTCTTTCTACTTGTCTCTTACCCTTTCTTCTTTCACAACCCCGGATGCTCTTACGCTTCCCAAGACACATATTTTTGCTTCTCCTGTTTCTTCTATGTTTTTATTTTTATTTTTCTCATTTGTTTGTTCTTCCATATATTTAATTATACATCAAACTTGCCAGCAAGGATTGATTATTCAAAGGAATTTTGTTGAAATAAAAATAAAAATTAGGGGATGATGAAAGAAAAATTATAAAGACAAATGGGATTTCACGAACAGCAAACTATGGAGAAAGGGGAGCTCACGAGCAGAATAATGTTGAATTAAACAAAAACGACTGGTGACATGTGAATCAAGAACTTCGCCGCCGGAGTTTGTTGTTGTACCCTTCATGCATCGTTGAAGGCAAAGGTATCAAAGATGCCGTTTGCTGCATCTTGAGGGAGTAGGGATGAAGTTCAATTCGTCGACTAATTGATAAGGAAGAAGGAAAAAACGAAGTTTAAGACATTGACTAGTAGATCTGCTTAAGTCGGAGAAACTCTTGCAAGAAGTTGTTCCACATGAAGAAGAAGAAGAAATATATATATATATATATATATATATATATATATATATATATATATATATATATATATATATATATATATCTGAAAAGCAGTCTGTATCTATCTCCATCGGCTATATATATTGTCATATTGAAAGGAATGAACAAATATGTGAGAAGAATGAAAAAGAAGAACAAAGAAGAAAACAGGGAGCGGGGAAAAGGGGGAATATGGACTGGACGAAACATGAGATCTCAGAGGAAGGAATCCAAGAGGGAAGGAAAAAAACAAAGAAGAATTGAAAAAAAAAGAAGGTAAACTTGGCCACGTGGATCACCACATATGCAAATTAACTTGGTAACCGGTTGTTTACCGGATAAAAGTGAGATTTGAGCGTTTTTTCAGTTGGGATACTTGATTGAATGATTTTTTAGTACAAGGACTTAATTGACTTTTTGAGTATAATACGAGAACTTATTTGATAGTTTTCCCTTAAAAATACATACATCGTAAGATCTTTTTGAATACCGATATTGGAATAACTTGGCAATGAATTGAAAATATAGCCCTTATCCACCTTTGGACAAATTACAAACAAAACCCAATGATACCTATATTTCCCAAGAGAATAGAAAATGGGTTAATATTTCATATGTCACGATCAATAAATATAATATGTAAAAGTGAATGTAATATATGAATCATATCCTTCATTATATGCTAAGAGAATGAGATTCTTTTCAAACATTTCAGTCAGAGCATGCTTCATGTAAGTCAGTGTGCTCTTTCTCTCCAATTTATAATACTTAAAAGAACAAATCCAAGGACACAAAAGACCCACATCATCACGACCAAACTCAATCACTTTTGCATTTACACAATTGCATGTGAAATTATAATATTAATAATAATTAGTCAATAGTAATTAAGTCTAACAAATATTCAAGAGTACTTGTAAACTTATTATAATATTTACAGCATAAAGGTCTGAATAATTGAAAGATCAACAGAATCACTCTCAACAAATTGACTCAAGTCTTCACGGTCAACAACGGTCCCAAATTGCTTATCATCAATATAATAGAACAACTCCGCAGGAAGAGGAATAGAAAACTTACAAAGATCGGGCTCATACCACTCAAGATTTTCATGCAATCTTAAAACATCATCCGTAAGTGAATGAAGAACGGTTTCACTGACCAATGAATATGAGCTGGGTTCAACCGTTACTTTTGGTGAATCTCTCATGATAAAGGGTACTTTTTTCTTAGCCTCATCCTCCTTTTTTGACTTGGACGGTGGTTCCTAAAATAATTATTACATAAAAATGTATGAAAGAATTTCATAACGAAATAAGCAACAAAAGTAAAAAATATGAAACAATAACTTCATTACCTCTCCCTCAAAAATAAACAAATGAGATGGCCATTGAACATATGAACCTACAGCGTCTGCTACTACATTCATATCAGCGGCTTCATTAGGATAAAGCAATGGGCAGTCTTTAAACTCTCGATATGTCATACATATGTTCACTTTGACTGTGTTTTCACACATCGGTACATTATGGATTAGCGCCCCAACAGGCGTGTTGTAGGCTACAACCATGACCACAAAATCCAAACTCTTATCACCAGGATGAGTGTGTGACTCAACAGCAAGCCTATAAGATGCATCATCTTGCATGTATGTATGTAAATACAAATGAAAAATAAAACATTTTTTGCGTAAATAATTATTAAAATGTTACTTACAATGAATGTTTTTTTAAGACAAGGTGCAGTAGAGTTCAAAGTATCCACATGGGCCACCTCTGAAGCAGGCATCGAATCCCCTGTAGGCACTTCACCTCTTGGAACAAAGTAATGTTGCATGTCTTTCATCAAACGCTCTTGCAACTGTTTTAGGTCAACATCACTCAAATTACCAACCTTATCTCGATGTGTGCTTCTCGACTCTCGATCAAATTAAAGACATGTGTATATCCCACACCACCACCGACGCCACGTGCACGTCCAGGGTAATCTGCCTTCCCAAAAACCTCCGTCAATATATTATGTTGACCAGTTGGCTTCCACGTTCCTGCTGCTACATCTTCTTGAAGTTTATCCTAGTACAGAAGCAATAGAATTTAATGTTAAAAATAAACATGATTTAATTACATGAGCATACCTATACTAACTATAACTTACCAACTTCTCTTTTTTCTCGCGCATGCCCTCAGTATTACCAGGAAACACTAAGTGACCGTCCGTTGTTAATCCAAACCTTGACCAAAACCAAGTGACATGTCTTGGAATATTACCAGTAGTTGTTATGCTAGAGTTCGTTGAATCTACTTCTGAACTGGTAAGAAACTGATCTAATAATCCTTGCTCTTTCCATTTCGGTATGGAAAGAACATATCTTGAACGACCCATACGCTGAGGATAGATATTCTGAAGTGCAGCTAGTTTATTCTTCTCGCTCAAAGCCTATTCAATGTTCCATAAATATTAAACAACTAGTTAATTAAAATATTGAAAATTTTTAATTCTATGGCATACCACATACTCAGGAGTCATAGTCTTCGCTACGAAACTATCCCACTCTTCTTTGGTAAGTTGGTCTTTATACTTCTCAAAAGCTTCCCCACAATCCTTTCTCACTTGACGAGTCTAATTTATGAAACCTGATCGCAATCGATTTCTCCAATCTCAGTGCATTTTGCCCAACTTTTTCAATAATGGTTTTTTCATATTGTCCTCCACAACATAGTCATGTTGCATGATAACATCAAAAATAAAGTGTTAGTGTATATTATAAACTAACATTATATAGTGAAATGAAGATAAATATATAGTGAATTGGAGATTTTGTAGGTACCTGTATCTCTTTAAAGATTTGATCTTTTGTCGCTTTTGAAACTTTCTTCCAACTATCAATGTTTATACTCACCCGGGAACGTACCATCTTCCCAATGAATGATTTAAACTCTTCAGCCCACTCACGATGACAACAACGGTATCAGCAAAATCGATTATTTTTCGCCCCTCGATGTCTCTTTGACCGCCACCGCTGCCATGAGGATCCTGATTATGACCAGGCTCATCTCCGTCGTCGTCGCTCATAGTGTGTACCTGCAATTCATAAGCATGCATAATGATTAATAATAATTCAATATTAAATATAACTTACAATTCAGTATTAAATTACTTAACTCAAAACAACTTACAATTCCTCACTTAGCTTTCTCCGTTAACACTTCAATACCATCATTATGGTGTGCGATAAAGGGAAGATCATCCTCATTGTGATCATATCTTATGTTTGTTTCACGCATCCCGATGGATAATGAGGGCATTTCCTCAACATAATCATCTTCCTCATCCTCAAAATTACATGTAATCTTTTTCTTGTCGGGTAAACAAATTGACCATCGTTCATTTGAAGGATCTTTTACATAAAACACTTGTTCGGCCTGTCATGCAAGTATGAACGGATCACCACGATGTCCTGATCGGTTAAAATCTACTAATGTGACTCCTATGTCATCACATTGCACACCTCGACGAATGTCAACCCAGTGACACCTGAAAACGGCAAAAGATCGAGCTATGTAATTTAACTCCCAAATGTCTTCTATTTTTCCATAGTAAGACAACCTTGCATGTAATGGATTTTGATCATTTGCACTAGCATACTCAGTCAAAGATGCTATCACAGACACACCACTATTCTGTAACACTGACTTCTCATCTTGTCTGGTGGTATAAAAAGTGTAGCCATTGATATCATATGCTTCAAAAGAATCAATTGGTCGTTTAGGACCATAGGCCAACCACTTAATATCATCATCAACATCATAGTACACATTATCAGTGTCATTGAAAATTAAATCCCTAAACCAAGATGCAATGGTTCGGTTGTGTTCTTTAGTCAACCAGATTTTACTTTTCAAAGGAAACTGAGATCTCAAGACATTCATATGTTGTTGCACATAAGGATGAACCACTTCAAGATGATGCAATACGAGAAGATGAGCCTTTCCCAATAAATCATTATCCATATTCTTTACTTGTTTCTTCCCAAAAGTGCCCTTTCCTTCAAGTCTGTCATCATGTCTAGACTTTGGTACTCCCAAAGATTCCACATTAGTTAAATATGGCGTACAGACTTCAATGACTTCTTCATCAATTAAACCTCTGATGATGCTACCTTCCGGTCGACAACGGTTTTTTACTTTTGATTTTAAATACCCCATGTGTCTCTCCATTCCGTACATGTACCTCAAAAACACCGGTCCACACATCTTTACCTCTCTGACTAAGTGCACAACAAGATGCACCATAATGTCAAACAATGATGGCGGAAAGTACATATCGAGTTGACATAATGTAACAACCACTTCTGATTGCAAAGCATCAAGTTTCTTTGGATGAATTATTTTCTGGCATATGGAATTGAAGAAGAAACGCAACCTCATAATGGCATGCCGAACATGATCATGTAGAAGACCTCTTAAAGCAACATGTACCAAGTGTTGCATCAAAACATGATAGTCGTGAGACTTCAACCCAATCAATTTCATATCATGTAGCGATACAAGATTTCTGATATTAGACGCATACCCTGATGGCACCTTTATCCCATGTAACCACTCACAGAAACTTTTTTTCTCGGCCTTTGATAATGTATAGCTGCTTGGTGGAAGAAAAAATCCATTCTCACGTGGTTGTGGTGCTAATTCTTTCCGAATATTCAGATGTTCAACCATGTCTTTGCGAATATTTATGTCGTCTTTTGACTTTCCAGGAACATTCAAAATAGTCGAAATGATACTATCACACACATTCTTTTCAATGTGCATGAGATCAACACAGTGCCTTACTGATAGGTCTTTCCAATAAGGAAGCTCCCAGAATATAGATTTCTTTTTCCAAAGGCTCTGCTTGTTCCGCTTATAAGATTTTCCAAAGATTGTGTTCAAATCTTTCACCCTATCATACACATCATGACCATTTAATGGTGAA